ATTCAAAAGTATAAAATCTTTATCTTCAAACCATTCAGCAAGACAATCGGCATTCCCGCTTTTATTTGAATAAAAATCCCATCAAGGGTAATAAATATTAAAATCGTCTAAAAGGATTATTTCGTGTATAATAGATATATGGAATAGGTATTTTTCGATTGTATAATCTTTCTCTTTTGTTTGATCTGCTTCATTATAGATATTGAAGATTTGGAATACTTTATCTTTATTCTGAATTTTGAGTATCTGCATATCTAAATCTATAAGCAAGTTGACAACTAAACTGATTATAGATTATAATGATTTTGATATATATAATAAAGTGTATGGCCGAATATTCGGATTGAATCTTGGAAATAATTGAGTATAATTGGAATAGAAAATAGATCTTGAAGTTGAATAATCAATTCCATTTTTAATAATCCAAGATTCTTGAATAATAATGAGATCAATATTAAGTTTAATTGCAAATTGTAATATACTTTTTGTAGCTTATAAACTTTTATTAAGATTTATTTGAAAGATTCATATATTGATATAACTCATTGATTGGTATTGTAAGGTTTTTGTTGGATTGCTTGATAGATTTTATAGGTTTTGGAATCTGTTTGTGACCAAAAGGGTATAAACAGGACTCCGATTGTGTACTTAGAATCTACAAGTGAAGAGCTATGTAGGATGCTAAAAGGAGGACTATATATACAGGTATTGGGAGCCATAAGGGCTAGGCCAAAAAGGGTGAAAGGGTCCTAGGCGTAAGATGCCTAGGTCTAGAGCTATAGAGCTAGGGCTCTAAGCTGTGAAAGGAAGGTCAAAAAGAGCCGTCAGTTCCGTCACACTGTTATATAATCTTCTTTACAATTAGAGCATTTAGAAACAAAATGTTGGTAATATTTTCCTTTAATATTATATATTATACAGAGATGCCTTATTGTAATATGTTTGTCTTTATATAATCTACAAGAAGAATCTCTTTTACAATATATGTCTTGATATTCAAAACCTTGGTATTTATAATATTGTGTATTTAAATTAGATTTGTAAAACTTCTCTATTCTTATATTAACTTTTGCAATATATAGTTGTTTGCAAATAACTAATTCTGTTTTTTATTTTGTTGCAAAAGCGATTACTATTGTTATTTTCTGTTGATAAGTTTTTTTAGATAGTGGTATAAACTAGAAGGGAATTCCTATTAATTTGAAATCAGGATTAAAGATTTTGATTTTCTTTAGTATGAAATCTATTCCTTTTATTCCTGAAAACTCCTTTATAAGAATTCTATGAATAATAACTTTATGCTATTTTTGATCTTTTTGAATTCTTTCGAATTTGATGATATTATTCCAGATTGTTTTCTTTTCCAATAGAAATTGTAATGTGAATAGATCGTTTGTAGTAATTATTATATTATTATTGAATGATAATATTACTACTACTACAATAGGGCCTTTAATCCCTACTTTTTGAAATGCTTCATTGATTTGATTTCGTATTATCAAAGATAAAAAGAAGTTGATATTTGGAATATCAGATTTGATTAGAATAAGATGTTTTTGAGTAATCTTAGCCTTATTCTCTATAGGAATAGGTTTGATAGATTTTCCTTTGGTTATTAAACTCTATTTTCCTTCTTTTGTTATTGCTGTATATATTGGTTTGGTGATTTTGATTAGAGTTGTAATAGTTGAAAAAGGGCTTTTGGCTAAGGCTTTTGCTTGAGTTTCAATTTTTCGTATAACCGATTCCAAATAAGTGATTTGGGAAATAATGATATTAGAAGTTGTAATGAGCTTTCTTTTTTCGATATATTCTCGGAAGATCTTGAAAAGATCTAGCAATTTTGATTGTTTGTTGTGTAATTTAGTAAGAGTAGAGGCTAGTATTATAAGATCTCTTGTTTTTAGAATTGTTTCTTTTGATATAATTAGTTCGTTTTGAATTTTAAATTGTTTATTGAGATTATTTAAAGGTATTGAAGGGCTATATTTCCTATTTAGATTGATAGGATGATTTGTTCCAGTAATAAATTGAGTAATAAAAGGATCACTGAGATAGCTGATCCTTTGAGATCTTAAAGTCGAATTGATTAATTGATTGATTGGTAATATAAAGTTTGAGCTTTCTAATAGTATATCTTCAGAAAACGGAGATAAACTTGATAATATTGATATTCCAAGTATAATAATTAAATAGGTATCAGGTATTATAAAAGCTTCAGAAAAAGCTTTTATTATAACTATATCTATAGAGATTCTTGGAATAACAGCTACTAGACAATCAGAGTGATCTATATTGAAAACAATGATTTTTCAATAATGATTCTACACATTTTTTCATATGTATTTCGTGTTTGAGACACCGACATTAGTATCACAACAACTACTGGTCAGAATCGTTTGGGGATAGTTGCAATCAATTTGATTTAATATCTTTGATCTAGATCGATCAATAAAAGGACGTATTTCGAAGGAAAATTCTCCTTCAAAATTTGTTGTGTGTCTAGTATGTATCTTATTCGTCTGTTCGTGTGAGATATCCATTGAATAAACATTAAAGCATAGCATAGCTTCAATCCCTAGGACTTCATTGTCATTACTCAGTACTGATGAAATGAAATGTGATCAATTGATAGACGAAGTCTTGTATTAGTAAACAAAGATGGTAGTGCAATGATAAGTGGAGGATATCGTCATTGATTCTCTTAGTACGTACTTAGGTCTTTGTTGTGGAACTCGGAGTTATCGCTTTTAAGATACAAGACATATAACCATCACCAACATTGTGTCTGTATAAATAAACATTCACACTTCAATTTGAAATCAAGTCATTAACTTTTTTCATATATATATATCTTACCCAATACCGGTGTCTCAACTACAGCAAACATGCCAGGCAAATATCAAAAGCTCGCTGGGAAACACGTCCTCGTTATTGGAGGATCATCCGGAATCGGATATTGCGTTGCAGAAGCCTCACTTGAATCCGGAGCCTCCGTTACAATCTCCTCTTCCTCTCCCGATCGCGTGGCCAAAGCGGTCGAGAAACTGAAGAGTAGTTATCCAGGTGGCAACGTCACGGGATATGCATGCGATCTCTCGAAATCGACTCTGGAATCTGATGTTGAGAAGTTGTTTGAGCAGACCGGGAAGGTGGATCATATAGTTTTCACGGCGGGTGATGCATTGGCTACGATTCCGCTCAAGGATTCCACGCTGGAGAGTATACAGAAGGCGGGACAAGTGAGGTTTTTCGCACCGTTGTTGGTGGCGAAGGTGGGGAGTCGATATTTGAGTGAGGGGCCGCAGGCTTCGATTACGTTGACTACGGGGGCGACGGCGGATAAACCGTTGGAGGGGTGGAGTGTCATCACTAGTTTTGCGGCGGGGTTGCATGGGATGGCGAGGGGACTGGCGGTCGATTTGGCGCCGGTGAGGGTTAATGTGGTGAGTCCTGGAGCGGTGAGGACGGAGTTGTGGGATGGAATGGAGGAGAAGGAGAGGGAGGCTCTTTTCCAGAGTGTGAAGGGGAAGGTTTTGACGAAGCATGTTGCGATGCCGGAAGAGGTTGCAGAGTCGTATTTGTGGTTGATGAAGGATAGTAACGTGACGGGAACCGTTGTGAGGAGCGATTCTGGTTCCTTGCTTGTATAATAGGATTGCGCCACATCGCTGAGGAATTTAGCTCATCAGTGTCCAATAGTCCAGATTGAAATCCAAATTTAAGAGACTTTTGATGCTTAGATTTCTTTTAAACGATAGATTCATCATATCTGTAAATATTTACAGCTTCTCGTAGTTGAATAGGTCTCGAATCGAACTGCAGTCCTGACGACTGTTGGGGACGCTAAGCTTGACCGTTATATAAATCGATAACGAATGAAGAATAGCATCCTGTCAACAGTTCTCTAAGATATTTATATTGAACCGCCATTTCCGAGCTGTGAATAAAGATATTCGACTAGTTTATCTGCTATCTCGGTAGATATATCTTCTGGGGGTCTGTCCTCTATACTTCTATCACAAAGCCGATCGCGCCCAAATCGTAACCTAGTAGAGGTATGGGCTACTAAAATTGAGTATACTCGATGTGTATTCTCCCGTAGGACAATATGGATGTTCACCACAGGGAAGTGTTGCGTAATATTTGTAAGAAGAGCCGCCTCGAGAGGCTCTTGGAGATTATCGAGCACCAGGATATTCTCCAGATAATTTCAATCTCTAAATCTTTTCAGATACGATTTTAACAGTTATTTCTTTGAATATTGTGTATCAATTACTCAACCTAGTCATGACCTTCATCAACCGACTTAGCATGACCAAAAATAAATAACGTATTAACATTGACATCTCCAAGGCAAGAAAATTCTTGGTAGAGAGATCATTAATCTCAAATAGCAATTTGGATAAAAGAAACCATCGATAGAAAAACACGCAATAATTCAATTCTGCGGCACTCCTCGCTTGATATCAGCATCAACCTGGGTGGTAACGTAGGGACTCGAGCTTGAGCCGTCCGCCTTCAGATCTATGATCAGAAAAGTATCTGCTCGTCCGCTGAGCGGCTTAATCACCACAACGCTTGCCCAATCTTCATTGAGTTGCACAACATAAGTATCATCCTTTCCATCTGTGTTGACCTTTCCACTCAAATTCAGGGTGAAAGATCCATTTCGGGAGACGATGAATCTGTCAGGGTCGGCATAACCGTCACTTCCATGAGGGGCAATGGTGAATTGCAGCTCGTTGTTGATAAGTTCTACCTTTGTGCTGAGTTGTTGGGCGATTCGGTCGGTTGTGATGGACCAGCTGGAGTCAGATGTAGCATCTTGGCTCCAACTATCACAACTCGCATTCCAAAGTGGGAGATCATTTAGACTCTTCATCCTCAGGAAAACTGCTTTGACCGATTTGAAAGCCACATTTGCATTGGAATTATTGGATCCTTTTAGGGTGAGAGTAGCTTTTTTCGTGTTGGTGTCGTAAGCTACAGAAGAAGTCCAAGTGACATGTGGTATATCTTTGGTGACAGAGGTATCAGAGGAATAAACTGCACTTATTACCGGGGCCTTTGTGTCTTGAGGGTTGTTCGTCTGTGAAAAAAGCCAGGTGACTCGATCCTCATTTAGTCTAATTCAATGTTAACGTGTATCTACGCATTGGTGGAGAGTTGTGATATTGTACTTACTCTGAATAGTCAATCGGCGTAAATGCATTATTACCCGTTAGGCTGGTGCAGCTGATCCCCATGAGTCCAAATGATAATTCGCCGCTTCCAGAATACTTGAACCTCAGGATGGAATCGAGGGAGTTTGAAAGACCCTGAAGAGCTCTGCTAATCTTTTTACTGTATTCGTCGATGAGGACAGCGTGAGACACGTATTCGTAGTCGGGCGCACCGTGACTTGACGCCCGACGGGGATCTGCTTCCACAAGCCTAGCGAGCTCTGAGGATTTTAAACCCTCTGCTCCGCTATCGTCTTCTATTCCTGTTGTACAATTACCGAATATCGCCGTGGGAGAATTGGGATCATAATTATTCGCATCAATTGTGATGCTCCAGGGTATGTCAAGGGGGCAAGTCCTTTAATAAATCAGCCTCTATTTTAATCCACGAGGTATATGATACTTACGTTCCCCCAAGATCTCCGATCATATCGATATCTGCTTCGAAACCCACACAGTACCTACAGTCGTAGTGACAATTCCCTGTGAGTTTGAAGCAGGTATCTGACAGCTTTTCGAATATCACGCTCGATAAAGCCGTAATGATATATTTGTAGCATTGGAATACGTGAGCCGAGGGTAGAAACGCTACCGCTACGTTATTTCCTGGTGCATCGCGTGAAGCTTTCCATCGAAGTTGATCTTTACTTTGCCTCTCCATAGCAAAAAATGAATTGGTCGGGTCCAGTTTTGGTAAGATTACCTTTTCCAGTTCATCATCAATTTGATGATCAATGTATGGAGGATAGAGAAATCTTTCTGCAAGAGACGCCGTAACTTTTCCCCAATGAGCCCTAAGGGGTATTACGAAGCTTGCAAGGCAAACATTTTGTAGGTGGATTGAAATAGGCGCTGTTTCTAGAGGGAGTTGGTTGTGGACAAATGTTCCCAAACACTCATCATCTCCGAATTCCGAATCGCCTTTTGGCCATGCAAAATTGCCACAAAAGGGCAAAAGATCGGCTGGAAGCACCCAAGTATCGCCAACCGTTTCGCAAAAGCATAGGCAATTGTAAGGGTTCCCATTCTTGCCAGTCAGCGGCGTGCCAGCCCTTTTCAATTCATCCCGCTTATCTGCTGTGGTATATGGATACTGTCGCAACCGAAGCCTTCTCGATGCTTGGATGAAAGTTAGAAGAGCAGTCTTAAACGAAATCTGAAGCAGACTTACGGAAGGAAACTTTCTCAGGGCTCACTTTACATGTAGTTAGCACTGGCTAGCAGAGATAGGGAGGGCAGTTGACCTTTGGGCCTAGGTACTTCGACACGCATGTTTTGCATGAGTAAAGACGCATGTCTCTTTGAGGACCCCAATTCTCGCAGTAATTGCTGAACTTGACTGTATAAAGCATTATTGCTTGGGTCTCTTGCCCACTGATCAAGATATACCTGTGTTCCATCCTTTGTCAAATAAGATTCTCCCCACACAGGGCTACCCCAATCGAGATCTGCAAAATCATGATTAACATATCTCTTTCAAGGGCATATATTAACGCACAGGCAATGATGGCTAAGAGCCGATGAATAGAGTATTCTCCTGGAATTAGATCAATGGAATTGGCGTGGTTAGAATCCACAATCTCAGCTGTGTCTTCCAGCTCGGCTGCTGCTGCTTCTGTCGGAGTGGAGGTGGGCTTTCTTGGCCAAAGGAGATTAAAAATGATAACTCAATTATCGACCGTTTGATATGTCTTCTGACCAAAGAAAATTTGTCCTTTATCAAAACTGCCACAGGAAAAAGAATCAGTACAAGTGGCTTTCTATTCGGAGAGTGTGGTAATCAATTACCGAAGTTTAAGCTTGAATTTGAGACTATTCACAGTTTCCACATCAAGCTCAATCTGAGGAGCCAGCATTGTTGATGTTAACTGGCCATCGGACACATCTTCGTTTTGCCAATGTATCTCTCCCGCTGAAGATGGCCTCTGCGCGAAAAGCTTGACTAGAGCCGAGTTAATAGCTTTCTCTGAGATGGCACATATCTGGTCGTAATGCTCTGTGCCATTGTTGGTGTCAAAAACGCCGTCTCTGAAAGTCAAAGTTTGTGGCATTGTGTAAAATGAAGAGATTTTGGCAAAGACTTGAGTTAAGTTTGGAGCGCAACAAATAGTTGAAGTGGATGGAAAGGGTATTGCTTCTGGTACTTAATTGTCGGGCAGTAGGTTTGTTTAGCTTCCTCAAATGTTGCTTGTGGCTCCTTGCCGACGTGCTGTTTATCGCGAATACGAGTACAAGCATTTCGTGAAATGAAGTAAGTACAAGTTATACAATCAATACCATCTTATCTCAGCTAATTGGGCTCAAGCCCTTATCCTTTTGATCGGGTTGTAGGGTGAGGTTATAGCCAAACAGATTATATGATTAGAAGATTCAATAAAGTAGATTATCTGATTAAAGGGGTTGTATCCACTTTTGACCTATAATCTTACATTGGCGACTTAAGCGATAAAGACCATGGCTGTATAAAGTATGGGCTCCGACGCTCCGAGATAAGACGGCAATTGAGATCGAAGCACAACCTCGAGCACAAGTACAAGCAAATCATGAAATGAAGCAGAGGAGGTCATACAATCAACAATCCAGATGGTAGTGCAGCCTTAGGTTCAAGGAAAATCATACGATCAAGAATCCAGATAGTATGAGGGATTTTTATTTTCGAAAAGAGAACTTGGATATAGATCGAAGCACAACTTTTAGCACAAGTACAATCATACATTTAGTAAGTCATGAGACAAGAGGTTTGAATGTAGACCATTATAAGATAAGATGTTTGAATGTACACCATAGATAGAAGCACAGCTTAAGCACAAGTAGTCTTACAATTATAAATTTAGTTAGTTATAAGATAAGAGGTTTGAATGTAGACCATATATGGAAGCACAATTTTGAGCACAAATATTATGAATGGCGCTTTCGACAACGAGATGGTCTACTGAGTACCCCATTCGTCAATATCGACGGAATGGACTACTGTATCTGAATAGGCTGTCCCATTGGTTGAATGAGACGTATATACACAAAAAAAATTTAAAAAGAAGAGAGAAAAAGATAATAAAAAAAAAAAATTAATAAAGATAAAAAAAATA